TTTCACTGACTGGTTCTTTTGTGTAAGTTAGAAGCCAAACCTTCTTGCGTTCTTTAGGAAAATTGGAGATGAGCAAGCAAAAGCAGTAACCAAGAAATTATGACAATCTTGGAACAGCATAGCCTTGGGGAGAACAAGTTTTTCAACGGTGACGAGATTGGAATGACAGACTTAGTCTTCGGATTGATAACATTCTGGCTTGAGGTCATGGAAGAAGCAGCTGGTGTACAAGTGCTGGAAGTGAATCGCTTCCCTCGCTTGCAGGCATGGATTAAAAATTTCAAGGAAGTTCCTGTGATTAAAGAAAATCATCCCGATAAGAGCCGCCTGTTAGCCTACATGAAAGAACGAAGGGAGGAGCATGTCAAAACAGCAACTTCTTGATATCCACATGAACCCAATAATAAGAATCAAAGTTCAAAGATAAATAAATGTAATGAGCTTCTACATTGTGCTGCACGGTGTTTTGCTCTCACTCATCTTCTTTGTCTGGGGTTCTGCTGTGACTGGAAGGAGATAAGGTTCTGTAAGTGAATACATGCTGGGTTGTGCGGCTAGCTTTGTTGTTGTCAAATTGTGAATTTGTATGATGCAAAAATATATAAAATCACCTTTTCGTCTATGAACTTCGTCAAAAACCGCGCTAAGGCTCTCTCATGAGGGCCATCTGAAAGCAGGGGATTTTGGGGCCAAGTCTCATCAATGGGTTTCCCATTGTGAACAGGCACTGGGATCTTTTTGTGAACTAGGTTATATTGTAAAAGCAAATCACTCTTGTTAGCCAAGTCCTCTTTTATGTATTCATATTTCACACCCTTGAGCTGAGGCCATATCACTCCGTAACAGCTTCACTTCTTCCATTTCTTGAAATTTCCTTTTGGAATATTAAACGGGATGTCACATTTTTCTTCTTGGCCACCTTTTGACCAATTGGTACATGACTTTTCAAGAAATTTTGAGTATGGCCCAAGAACACCAATGGTGCTCTGCCTAGCGGTCCTACGTTTTGGAGTCTTAGGCGAACATTCAAAATGGGACCTTTCACTCTATATATATATATTTATGTGATTTTTTTGGGTAAGTTAAAAAAATATTTTATAAACTCAAATTCACAATTGTAACATAAAAGAAACAATCAATATGGAATTTGCACAACAATTTTATAAAATGCATCAAAACATCACTTAAATGTCATTCGTCTTGTATTTTCAATTCAAAAGTATCAATTAACAGAATCAAGTTTTTCTACCATTGTATTTTTCAGTTTCCTAATTGATTCAACTAGGTTAATTGATTTAAGCTAAATTTTATATAAAAAAAGGTCTTTATTGAGTTTCCTCTGTTTGATTTTGAATTGAGTAATCGGGCAATTTTTTATTTTTTATTTATTACAATGAGTGGGCCTTTATTGAGTTTACTCTTTTTAATTTTGAATAGAATGATTAGGTAAGTTTATTTATTTATATTTACAATATAATTGGTTTGAGGCTAACATAATATTTATATAATATATTTTTTAAATAATATAGGAACCTCACAATTTGAGGGCCCTAGAAAGCTGCCTTACCAGCTTGTGCCGAGGGCCTCCCCTAACTCCAATACATGAATTTCTACTTGTCAATTTTCTTGGCAAAGAAATAGAAAAGTGACAAACTTGATAGCATTATTCATTGTATATGCCGGGTCAATTAAGTAAGTTTAAATAATAAATTAAGGGAAGTTTAAATACCAAATTAACTGTTGACCTAACCACTGAACCAAAAGCTTATAAAGGTAATCCATTGGTGGGAGCAAGTTAGAAAGAAAGAAAGAAAGAAAGAACACATCTTTACAAAAAAGGAAGTGAAGCTACTAGGAGCATGGCCTAGTCTCTTTTAGTAGAGTCATATGGGCTCTAAAACTAAAGGGTGTTAATTAGTATGAATATGTGGAAGAAAATCTTGCGAACAAGAGTGATGGTCTTTTACAGTACAACCCAGTTCATAAGAAGATCCCGGTGCTCGTTCATGGCGGAAAACCAATATTAGAGTCCACTGTTATTCTTGAACACATTGAGGAGGTTTGGCCACAGAATCCATTGCTTTCAAATGATCCTTATGAGAGGACCATGGCTCTGTTTTGGATTAAGTTTGGAGAGGATAAGGTGTGACATTTAAAGTTTTTTACATGACTTTATTTATGTTTAAATGAAATATATCACATTATTTATCAAACAAATTTGATGCAGATTTTGCAAAATTCTAAGGCATAAGATGGAACATTTAATATAATCTTTCATGCACATATATTTGTATTTTTTTCCTTTTGGTAAATAGTCACAAAGCCATTGTAAAAACCTAGCAACGAATAAATTTAGTCTTTTAATATCATGTTTAGCAACATAAAGATTCTATTAATGTATAAGGAAATCATTTGTTCATATCTGTTTCATTGGGACTTGCAATTTTTATTGCACATTTTCAATCTATTGGTGAAGAACATGAGAAGGCAACAAGGGAAGTGCAAGAAGTATTGAAAACAATAGAAGAACATGGGCTTGGGGAGGATAAGTTTTTTGGAGGAGACACAATTGGGTTGGCAGACCTGACATTTGGATGAATGGCTGGTTGTCTAGGAGAGATGGAAGAAGCAGCTGGTGTCAAGTTGCTAGAGGCTAACATGTTTCCTCACTTGCAGACTTGGATAAAAAACTTCAGAGATGTCCCTGTGATCAAAGAGAACCTTCCTGAACATGATGGACTGCTGGCCTATTTCAAATCCCTAAGAGAGAAGTTCACTGCCACAACAATATCATAGATACAAGTCATTCTATGGTGAGGGTCTTATGTAAGGCCCTGAAATGGGGTCTTATTTCTTAACTGTTTAACTAATCAATTTGATTCAACAGTCAAGAAATAAGCCTTAGTTAAGGCCCTCACTATAGAATTCTACCATCAGACACATGATTCTAGGATTCGGCAATGGGCCAGCTCGCTCATAACCACGTTTGACCCTTTATTTTCAATCCACGGATCACAAGGCAAATGATGATTAAAGGGGTAATAGAGCCTCTAAACAATGATATTATGTATCAGCTTATCACTAATAGAAGTTATAGAATCCCAATAACAACTTACTATTTTATGCATGGTTTGGTCTTGATTTGTTCTTGTGACATTATCACTTACGTACATATACTTTAGATGCACACTTCCGGGTCCTAACAAAAGTTGAGAGACACCCTACAATGGTGGGTTCAGAATTTGAAAGTTGGCCGGGTGAAACTTATATTAAAAACTCGACGGTACAATTGAATTTCATTCATAAACATAAAAAAATATACATAGTCAATAAACGTAATGAGCATTACCCTTAAATGCATCTTTATATATAAATAAAAGCTTATATAAAAGCAAAAACAACAAAATGTAAATGCAATGCAACACACAAATAAACTAAGGATATCATACTTTATAAAGTAAGGATATCATACTTTATAAAAGTGTCAGATGAAAAAACCAATTTCGCCACCAATCCTTCAAACCATGTACTTGTAGCTCAAGCAGGTAACCGAGTTGGCTGGTTGGGTATAAATACATCTAGAAACCCAGAGCACAACATAACAAAAATGGCAGAAGTGAAATTACTAGGAGCTTGGCCTAGTCCATATGTTTACAGGGTTATATGGGCACTAAAACTCAAGGGTGTGGAATATGAGTATGTAGAAGAGGATGTGTTATTCAACAAGAGTGATCAGCTTCTGAAGTATAATCCAGTGCATAAGAAAGTTCCTGTGCTTGTTCATGATGGGAAACCAATTGCAGAGTCCATTGTCATTCTTGAGTACATTGAAGAGGCATGGCCACACAACCCCCTGCTTCCAAAAGACCTTCACCAAAGAGCCGAAGCTCGGTTCTGGGCGAAGTTTGGAGAGGACAAGGTAATCAATCACTCTCAACAGTTTGACACATTATGTTGTCAAAATAATTGAATCCATGAATGAATTTTTATATGAATATTTAAATATATATGTTTGTGATATCGACTATCTAACAACATAGCATGTTTATACATGAACGCGAACTAACTCATTTGTTTTGTGTGTAACGCAGAACCGAGCTTTTTTGGGCTTCTTTTTTGTGACTGGAGAAGACCAAGTGAAAGCAATCAAAGAAGCGCAGGAAAGTCTTGGAATCTTGGAAGAGCATGGCCTGGGAAACAAGAAGTTCTTCGGCGGCGACGAGATTGGATTGGCTGATTTGGCATTCGGCTGGATAGCTTGGTGGCTGGAAGTCCTGGCGGAGGCAGCTGGGGTTAAGGTGCTGGAAGCTGACAGCTTTCCTCGCTTGAAGGCATGGATGCAAAGATTCAAGGAGCTTCCCACAATCAAAGAGAGCCTTCCAGATCGCAGTGCAATGTTGACCTACTTCAAAGGCCGAAGAGCAACATTTGTTGCTTCTGCAGCAGATGCATAAACAAAACAAGCTAGTACCTGCTGGTGTAGGATTTGTTATATAATGGCATGCCTTCATGTTATATTAGTTGATGTACTGTTGTTTCTGTATTTTACTTAATTAATAATCACCAATAAAAAAGAGCTCGGTCAATTTTACATGTCTCCACTTTCTGAATTTTTTTTTTCCTTTTCACTTACTGTTGACCTTCTCGGCCTTATACTTGAGCACCATCATTGTAATCGTCCATTTAAATGTATCAATACTTACTAGAGAGATACATCAGATAATATAAAAAATCTTAATCCTTAAAACAAATCGGAGGAAAGTTATCAAATTTACAAGTCGCACCATATATCATATGAATAATAATGAAAAGTCACCCACCCTAAAGAAGTTTTGAAAATTACAGGATTTGAAGACTAAGTTCTGAAAATTACAGGATTTGAAGACTAAGTAGTAAATTTATATGAATTATTATTACTTGGTCAAACAATACGGCAAATTATAATTAGTAATCTCCACCTAACATATCTTGGAGCCCAAGCAGGTTTGAATTGCACTCAATCAGGTATATATATATATACCCACCAGAGTAAGAAGATGAACACAAACTAAATCAATATGGAGGAAGTCAAGGTACTAGGGTTCTGGGCAAGTCCATACGCTTACAGGGTTATATGGGCTCTGAAACTCAAGGGTGTCGAATATGAATATATAGAAGAAGACATATTCAATAAGAGTGATTTGCTTCTTCACTGTAACCCAGTGCATAAGAAGGTTCCAGTGTTTTTTCATGGTGAAAAAACAATTGCAGAGTCCACTGTTATTCTTGAGTACATCGAAGAGACGTGGCCTCAGAACCCTCTGCTACCAAATGACCCTTTGGAAAGGGCCATGGCTCGGTTTTGGACCAAGTTCGGAGATGACAAGGTAATCAAATCTCCCTAATATTTTGGCTTGTTCTCCTCGATTCAAAAGAAATGTTACCTTTTCACTGACTGGTTCTTTTGTGTAAGTTAGAGGCAAAACTTTTTCGAATTCTATAAAACAACTGGAGATGAGCAAGCAAAAGCAGCAAAAGAGGCCCAAGAACTTCTGACAATCTTAGAACAGCATGGCCTTGGGGAGAAAAAGTTTTTCGATGGCAACAAGGTCGGGATGACAGACTTCGCCTTTGGATGGATAGCACTCTGGCTTGAGGCCATCGAAGAAGCAGCTGGTGTACAAGTACTGGAAGTCAATAGCTTCCCTCGCTTGCAGGCATGGATTAAAAATTTCAAGGAAGTTCCTGTGATTAAAGAAAATCATCCCGATAAGAGCCGCCTGTTAGCTTATATGAAACAACTAAGGGAGGCGTATGCCAAGCCAGCAATTTCTTGATATCCAAGTCTTAATATTTCCAAGTGTACCACATGAACCCAATAAGAATAAAGGTTCAAAAATAAATAAAAGTAATAAGCTTCTACATTCCAATAAGAGAATAGTTCCAACAACATCTAGATACCTCTGAAACTCTGCATACGCTTCACAAACCCTTCATTAACTGCCAAATCATAAAGGTTTATGAAAACGAATTAGCCTTCACAATATATTTTCTCTAATCATTGCGATTTGTCGAGGCAGAAATGGGGCGTACGTTCTTTCAACTCATAGACTGCAAGGAGACAGGTTCTGTAAGTGAATAGATGCTGGGTTGTGGGGCTAGCTTTGTGCCTTTTTAGCCTTAGCTTCTGACAGCAAAGGTTCAAGTTCACCTTTTCGGTATAGCTTCACGGTATCTGCATATCAGGATAAAGAGCAACATTAGAATTAAAATATTTTCCCTTCGTTAAACTTCTTTTTTAATCTTTTCACTGTGTGTCACCAGAGAATTTATAACTAGCTAGCAGCGCCAACACGAAGATACACAATTTTTTATTCAGAAAGAGAAGAGTTCTTTGTACTGCGTATTTGCTTGTGTATTGAACTTTTGCGTGCACATTGGTCATGTATGTTTTTATGAGTATTATAATCCTGTGACCCTACATGGAGTTGAACCCTAAACTTTCCACTCCCTTTTAACTCAACAAAGTTTTGCTAAAAACCAGTGCTATAAAAGATAACAACATTGATGTAAGAATGTCATACCTGTACAACCACCAATGTGTTTCCCCGCTGCATGGAAAGGAACAAACATGTGAGCTTTTACTATCATTAAAGAGCCAATAATTTAAAAATTAAAATATGACAAACTTAGAATGTACTTCGAAAACATTAGTTGGTAATATCGTTCTTCAGATAGTGCCTATCAGTTAATAAAGAATTTAACTAGAGTAACATAGAAGCCTGATAATCCACTCAGCCCCTGTTGAGAAATCGTACTAAGGATAGACCTAGTATAAAGTCAAAATCTGGAAAACAGCAAACCTTTTTTTCTTCTTCCAATAGCACTTTACTATATTGCCCAATCTTACATTTATAACCATTTCGATATTTAGAAGTAACAGCTTCTACAGTAATAAAGTTAAACAGTGTTGGTCGTATGTCTCACACCTTTACACTGTTGACCATTAACAGGGAGCAAGGGACAGAGAAATAAAATCACATTTTCAAGAAATGACTCCAAGAGATCTCCAAACTGTTAAAGAATCTAAGAAGTTTCATTTCTATTCCAGCATTTTCTCAGTAACCAAACAAAGTGAAAAAAAAAGACAGCAAAAGAGAGTTCAGGGGTTTCTTTAGTCTTTACTTACTTTTGTATGCAGCCTTGGAGGGTGAGATTGAGTGTTTGAAAAAACAACGAAGAAGGGAATATAACCTTGAGATTGAGTTTGGAGAAAAGAATGAAAAACAGGAACATTTGTGTTTGAGAAGAGAATGGAAAAAAGGATTCAGCAAGTCACCTTTTGGTTAACTTTTCAAACTTTTAATAAAATAAAATAAAAAACGACCCCAAAACCATGTATGTATAATATCTAGACTTGATTTTAGATTTGGCGGTGAAGACAAACAATTTGTTGATCAAAGAGTACGTTATTTATCAACAACGGATACTTCCTGTATATACTTATTGAATTTATTGTTGCACTTATCAAATGACACACTCAACGAACTACAGTTCCTAACGAGTATCAAGGACAACTGAATTTGTATAAAAATTGCAATAAACATCATGTTGAGATACTATATAGAAGAAATACTTGTACTAAGCTACCCAGAGCTGCGGCCTAGGGTCCGCCCTTGGATCCATCATGTATATATTAATGCAGGTCTCATCATTTGAGCAGAGAAAAACATAATTGAGATGGTTTAGGTTAACCACTAAGAATCACAAAGAGTGCTTCTTACCAATAAAAACATTCGGGACAGTATGCTGTCCTGTAAGCCTCTCCAATACCTTTTGCAGCTGTGGCCCTTGGGGACCTGAAAGAGAGAAATGGCTTTCGAATTTAAGCATAATTCGATCAAGTCAAAAGACAAAAGTGATAAAACAGAGTAGGAATCAAACAATGCTTCTCAACATTCAAACTAAGCCAAACAGAAACATACCATATCAAATTGGGGAGCAAACAAAAAACCTATGAATTTTGTGTACAAAAGCACACTTCTTTTCTTAATTCTAGAAACATATTATCTCGAACATTGCACAAGCTAGAAACTTTCTGTTTCATAAGGTGAATGGAGCTCAACAATTTGTTCGTTTGTATGCATAATCAGCTTCAAATTTTCCATTCAAACTGTTCAACTACATCTGGGGCACCGAAAACTGAGGCTAAATTATCAAATTACATTAAATCTAAAAGGACATAACTGCACACTCGAGAATTCAAGCAAGCAAAGACTTAGAACGCATTTTCATCCATCAAGCACCTAAACTGAAATTTGATAACAAAAACAAAGTTGCATATTGTTGGCATTTTATGGAGAGCAAGAAAGCATACCAAGTTCATCCAATTCAATGACCATCGGCTCCACACCAAGCCTTTTGAACAACGATTTCACCTCAGAGGAGTACCTTCAACCCAATTTCCAACAAACCCATTTCAAATTTCTCAAAAAGAAACCAAATTGACAAAACAATCAACATGACAATTGAAAATTTACGAAACCCAATAGTAATGGGGATTTGATGAGATTTATGTACTCACGAACACCACGTTTTGGAATAGACAACAACTGGGTTCTCATCCACCGTCTTCTTCACGCTGTCTTCGAGCCGAGAACCGAAAGAGGAAGACATGGCCTTAACAGAGAAGGATCTCCATCTTCTTGAGCCATTGATGCTGAAAAGGCTTATGCTTGAGCTGCCTCTTGGGCTGCAATTGTTGCTCAAAGGAGCAGAGCAAATGGAGGACTTGTTTGTAGAAGAAAGAATGCGAGCAGAATTTAGAGAAACAGATGTGAAATTGGTGAGGTTATACGAGACTGCCATTGTTGCTGTCTCGCTTCAGCTTTCTTGGAGCTTTTTGTTGGGCAAATCCCTTGCCTTGTTTGCTTGATTCTCCTTTCTTTTTGGCTTTTTCTTGTTTGGGTTTTTGACTATTAGTTTTCAGGTTCTTTGAGATTCACTGACAGATGAAGAGTGAAAACAGGAACTGGGTTGCGCCATTGGTTTAAGCCTTTGGCAGTTGGACTGCATTTGTGGAAGTTTCACAAAGCCACAGAAGCCAAGCATATCATATCCTGCAGTTGGCTATGGGCTGATGGGCCTTCAAAGATGAAAGATTGTTTTTTTTGTTGGTAAAAAAATTGGGTTTAAGTTGTGCGTCCTGATCACAATCTGGGCCTAGTTGGCTATCATCATCAATGATAGTTATCTTAGGCTTCCTTTTCCTAAAAAGAATGGATACTCGGGTATTTTTTAGTAAAAAGAAATCACAGATTATAATCAATGACAGTTTTTGTGTTTAACAATCCAGTATTCCTTTTCATTTTAAGCCACAGATCATAACCATTTTGGTTGTACAATGATAGCAGGTTTTGTCTCCTCAATATATATGATGAAACATGATCTCAGCTACTGCATTTCTATAGGCTCTTCAAACCAGCTGTGATATATTGTATGTTCTTTGAGGACACAACAGGCAACGTACCTATTTCCCACACTTTGTTTCCCTTAATTGCAGCTTCATCAGATATACATGTATATATCTCAGGCCAAAACTTGAGTAATGATCATAGCACATTTATGAATTCTGTCTCTATGTCAGGCAAGACTTGTTGCATGCTCAGTCTCATCGCTGTCTGGTTTCAGGTTTTGGTTGCAATGGATACATATAGACACAACCTTAATTATGAACAGGCGGTTTATGTCCCACATTGGACAAGATAAAAGAAAAGGATGGGCTGCCAACTCAGGGTGTCAAGTAAGAGGTTACAATCTGAGTTGAAGAAGCTTGAGTTTGTCCATCCAACCTGGATATACTCATAAGAATCTTTGCTGTTTACCTCCATGCGTTTAATACATGTTTCTGAATGCTGGACTTCGATCTCTCTAAGTTAAGTGCAATCAAAATCAAGTTTCTTGAATTATTTGTCATCTGAAGAATAGATAAACTTGGAGGAGTCTCCATTGATAATGTCAAGAATAATTTTGATATAACCATAGTAGTTTGGGTTGGTTAAAGCAAATGATATAAGAGGAATTAGGGCTCGTTTGGGAGTGATTCTAGCTAGGTCAATATTCATCATCACTCTCAAATGAGAACTCAAAATCGCTTACTTAAAGTGATTATATGGAGAAACACGTGGAAGGTGCTTCTCCCCATAATTGATTTTGGCCCTCCCAAAATCACTTCCAAAATGCCTTAGTATGAAATATCTGAATTGAATTAAAAGAAAAGTTTGTTGTGATTGTGGGAAAGGAAATCATGAGATGAACGAAATATGGAAGGGTATCTGTCTGAGTATGTGACCGCATCTTTCAAACACAACGTACCATCCAGCAAACGATTGCACCAGTCAATTCAATTGTACTTAAAAAGAGTACTAAAACAGTTGATTTAGCTGGACACAGACACTGCAGCTTAATTTTCTGCCTGTTCATAGTTGATACTGATTTATCAGAAAGCTTATAGCCCAAACGAAGTGTTGCATTTCTTGTGATATTTCTTTTACTTTAGGATGCAGATCCTACGGATGATCCTTTTAGGTCCACCAACTCAGCCTGCAATAGACACAACATGTGAAGGAACAAATTCTGATTTCACAAGCTCCATTGGTTTGTGCAAGCAGGAGAAAAATGGGCCCTTGGCCCCTTCAAGTGATGGGACTGTGGCAATGAAGAAATGTGGCCATCCCATGTGTTATTTCAGTGTTACTGGCAGAAAATGTCTCTTGGCAGAAGAACAGAGAGAAGAAGACAAAAAACTGGAGCTGTTATCCTCAGTCAGGTTTTTGAGGAAAGCTCAGTTGCTGGTGAGTTT